TGCGTACAATCAAATAACCGAAAGGTGGGTTTTTACAGGCATGTAGTCTTCAATTCAACTTACCAGGTACTAAGAAAGTTTCATGAAGTTTGTAGATCTTTTTACAAAACGTTTGCTTTGCTTTCGGAAAAAAGGATGAGAAGAACAGTCAGTACTTTTCAAAGGTAAACTACTAATTAATGTGTTTATTTTTAATACGCTAGACTTTCAGAATTGTTTTCTCACTTTTTCAACTTTAAATTCAACTATGTGCGAATATTAAAACCTTAAGCTTATCTGAATTGCACTTTTGAAACTGAACCATTTCTAGCAAGTCGTCTCCGCTTTTGGAGACTAAGTGTCTTGTTTACTTTCCTCTACCTGAGCTTTTTTGAAGAGCATCCAAAGAGGATGCAAGTCTTGCATCAGAGCTATCTCGCTATTTTTCTCAATAGACAGAAAAAGAATCTTCTACGAAACTTTAACCTAAGCAAAAACACCGAAGTTCGGCATTCGCTCGGCAAATGACCTTGTCTTGGAGGTAGCACATCCACAAAGTGGTTCTTCGTCTACCCGATTCCTGATCAAATTGGAATTTGGAAATGTTGGTTTTTGAGAAGAGGGGAAAACCGGAGAACCCGGAGAAACAACCTGAGATCAGGCGTTATTTTTTTTGCTTCTTTGTTTCTTTTGCTCGAGAGGGAAAAAATTAAGGCCTGATACATTCATTTAACAATACGTTAACCGCCCCCTAATTTACATAATGTAACGTCTGCTTTGCCTGTCATGTTATTAGCCAATAAGCGTTTACCATACGGGAATCAAATTTTGGTGCGAATAATCTTTTGAAATCAATTTTAGTGAAAAGAAAATTTTTAAGTATGTCCATGTTCAGATGGCGCTTTCTAAAAAAAAATTTAAATGTGTTCTTTTGTGATGAAATACGGCTAGCTGGAGCTGCCGTACCTTTATTTAACAGCTACAAATAATAAAAAATTTACAGGTTAAAGCTCGTTGACTTCTTTCTGTGCCGAAAGCAGTGAAAAAAAAATTAGCTGAAGCACTGCATATTTTACGAACTGAAAGGTCTTGTGAAAGCGAAGATCGCTCAGAATAATTCGCAGGTTTCTAAATAAGGAATTACAGTCAAACCAGGTCAAGATTCCATTCATGAATTGATTATTTTAAAAGTGAACCCGTTTGTCGCTTCCCGGTAACTTGTAGCCGGTATCTAATTGCATTCAAATGATCCGTGAATTTTTGACTGCAACTTTTTAGTATACGATGAGATGGAAAATATTTCAATGGATGAGATTTCTATTTAGGCATTCTTCAAATTCAAGAAAATTGAGCTGGCAGAAATTTTATAACGAGCTCGCGTGTGTATTCACTGCTCATCACGCAAGGAAAACTGCAGACTGAAATCAACAACAACTGACGGATGGCGGCATTTTGGCCAATTTGAAAAGCGCAAATCATCCGTATTGTTTCCTATCCAATCAGAAAAAAGTCCAGATTCTGGCTTTTTTACATGTGATCCGACAAAGAAATGTATCATGCCCTCTTCCCGTGAGAGACTTAAAGGGATAATAGGGAGAGGGCATGATCTCAGGCTACCGGAGAAAAACCTCTCGGAAAGAAGGAGAGAACCAACAACAAACTCAACCCACATATGGCGTCGACGCCGAGATTTGAACCGGGCTACATTGGTGGGAGGCGAGCGCTCTCACCACTGCGCCATCCCTCGCTCCCAAAATTGAAAATGTTTATTGCTATCTGGACATTTTGAGCCTATTCTACAAGCAACAGTCCCAGATGTGGTCAACGTGTAACGTTTGCCAATTGACAGTTCAGAATCGAATTCCTAGCGACCTGCCTGGCTTGATAAATAATGAACATGCATGTGCGTGCTAAAAAAGTAAAAACTAGCGCACAATACAAGAAATTCATTTGTACGAGTGGCGAGGATTTTTACATCGTACTAGTTCCCGGCACGCGGTGCATATCACACAACCTCAACCACCACCCCTTCCTAGTTCTGCGTAAAGGAAAACTGAGTCTAATGGTTAGTAGCCAACGTAGCAGGTGTTGAAAGGGGTAGGGGATAGGGAGGAAGGGAAAAAGGGAAAAAGATTGGAGAAAGAGGGTAAAAGACGCCTCCTATAAGAACCCCCTAATTTGTTCATTTCTGCGGACGCCGGCGTGTATCATGGTGTGTATTAGTGACAGACAAACATGATGAAGGCATCAAGGAAGTGTGTTCTCATCTGTGTTCTACTGGAATAAGATTCGGAAGATCAAAATTACTGCAATCATGTAGTAACTTCATGTTAAAACCCGAACTACAACCAACTGTAATAGCTGGTTTAACAGGCAGAGATGCTCAGGAAGTTTTTTATACAGGATTTGTACACACTGAGCGGCGATTGCAGACATATGCAATTCTGCAATGCCGATATTCACAAGACAGACAGCAAAAACACGTACCGTCTTGAATGAACTTCAAGAATAGTTCGTAAAGGGAGGGCTGAAGCTTTGGTATAACTATCCGTTGACCTTTTTGACGGTTGTCTCTAATTCTCCCAACCTGCAAGCTCTGTTTCAACGACCAAGAGAAGTGTCAACAAAGTTCCAAAGATGAAGTGTGGTACTGAAATTTCCCCGTCGGCTAAAGCACACTCGAAAACATGATGAAAAACATGTCAACATCTGCCGGGATAGCTCCTCATCTAACTAACCGCTGCGTCCGATCTACATCAGTTACAGTGCTCTCAGATCACAACATTGAAGCCAAGCATATTAAGACTGCCAGTGCTGGACACAAATCAGACAACTCCATTGAATCTTACTGTTCCAGGGCTTCCTTTCAGCAGAAAGGGAACATGTCCAACATATTGGGTGGCTTCATCTCTGGTGACTCCGCAGAACCACGAGTTCTTGTACTCGAGGGTGCCTCAACAACGAAAGAGCTTACTGGAGCAAGCACTCTTTCTGTGGCTCCAAAGAATCAACAGTCAGCAGTGCAAATGCAAATGCCGCAGTCGTTCAGCTTTCATTGCTCCTCTGTTTCCATCGTAAACAATACAACAACTACGTTTCGATGAACTAAAAATCAACAAACTGTTTAAAACTTGGCCCAATTATCAATCGCCAATTTAATCTTTAGCTTTCCTTGCAGTTCATAAAAGTATTGTAGGTCAGTGCACTATCTTCAAGATTTTTTTTCTATGAACAGTTTTGGTTGGATTTTCACCAACTTCACATCTGAATGAATCAGTGAATGAATTTTCACAAGCTACGCGTTTGTATCACGTGTTTAAAAACGTGACAGTTATGTAAATTTATGCAAATTTGGCGAAATCGAGCGTGAAGCTTTCTTTGGTTTTATTCCCAAATAAATATTTCTTCAACTTGCATTTGCTAACTTTATTATTGCCTTTTCTGTCCGACTAGTTGGGTGATACTAAAACAACATTACAGAAACGCGCCCATTCAAAAACGTCGATCGTGAAAATGCAAATAAGTGAAAAATGACGTTAATTTAGTGTCAATCAAGAAATCCCCTGGGTATATCCCTTTCCTGGTTATTGTTCCTGCTCAGACATCCGCAACATTTGCCTATTCTTTGATGAAGAATAGAACTTCACGCGACTAACAATAGCTCAGTCTGTTTAAAAACTGTCTAAATTTACTCCGAATTAGCATGTGACTTTTTGCTGTTAAACGCTTCAAAATTGAAAAATCCTCGATGCTTGTTGTTGATTTTGCCGTAAATAATTCAATGCACTGACTTAAAATGAATTTCTACCTTTTACAAACCTCTTGGTGTTCGAATCGATCGATGAAATATGAGCGCAACCGATGCGTTAATAGTTTGTTTACATTTTGTCACGGGTTTTGGATAATATTATAAACCTTAAAATTTACGGGCAAATTCGACGAGAAAGCACTCTCACTTACATTCTTCATTTAAGATATTGATTTTAGCAAAGTATAAGGCCAAAGTAAGAGCGATACTTTCTTTAAGAACGCAATAACTACATTTTTAACGGCCAAACCGAAACAGCGATCTAATCCGTCTCTTGAAAACAACTACAATACCGCTTCTGATAATAATATTCATAAACGCTACAAACATTTTTATTCAATCTTATCGAGTGATTTTCGAGAAGATGAGTTTTTAAGTGAAGAATACTTTGGTTTCTGATTAGCTTTAACTGTTTTGCCATCAAAACGATTCGCACGAGACTACCGAATTCGCGAGGGTTTTATGTTAGTGCACGAGGAAGAAAAATGCTTCTCTTTGCATAAACATTTTCTTCTTTGTAGCAATGACAAAGACATCCCAACACATAAAACAATGGCAACCTACTTCTATTGTTTCTGCATTGTCTCTTGAAAGTGTGAGAATAGTTAACCGCTATGAAGTTCATAAGAGACCGAAAACGGCGGTAGTCTTTGAAACTTCGTTTTTGCTCGCAAAGCCTAATGGGTACCCCACTTTTCACGGGCGACGTTTTTCAATGGGCGCGTTTCTGTAATGATTAGATCCTTCGCCCTCAAGGGCCACGGGTCTAATTGTTAAGTAGTCTATAGGTGGTGTTTATCATGTTCCTGATGATTCTTGTAAAACGTTTCAAGTGTCTCCTTTTTAGGCCATTTCTTCATTCCAAGTTCCTTACCCATTTGAAAAACTTCTGCAGAAATTATGCGGGCCTCACTTTCTTCTTCTGGATATTCTCTATACAGAAGCAACGCTAGTTGAGTCTTGATCCAAACTTTCCATTTGTGGTTTCCCTCTATGGTGTTATCGGCAACAGAACTTCCCAGCTGGAACATTTCTCTAGATCGGACAAAGTCTTTTCTCTTCCGGCAGCAGATTCCAAAGTTTTTATAGATGGGAACTATCTCTTTCTGTTCCTTTACATCCATGTCTTCCAAAACAGCAAGTGCTTTCTTGTAGTTTTCATCTGCCTTGCCCAGTTCCTCAAGAAACAAAAAGTAATCACCCATTTCTTTGTATGAAAACGCTGTTAAAAGATGCTTTCCATAATGCACAAGACGAAAACTTAAGGCTTCACTATAGTATCTCACAGCGGCTTCGCGCTTTACTCCATCTTTGTGAAGTTTCGCGTTATGTCCCATTTGAGAAAGAATTTTGCCCTTATCAAATGTGAAGTTATGTTCCAAATGCTTCGCAGCGTCCTTTTCATAAACTGAAATTGCCTTTTCAAGATAACGCTGTGACCTCTCTCTTTCGTGACAGTCCTGTGAGAGGTATCTACCATAGTGGATCAAATAAAAAACTTCAGACAAGCCCTCTTCATCAAAACATGGGAGGTTTCCATCGTGTAGTTGGATAGCTTGTTCAATGAGATCTTTTGATTTCTGCATTTCACCTTCACCACGTTTTCTTGATTCGTGAAAAAGGAGGCACAAAATCTCTACCTCCTTAGTAATTTTCTCTTGGCTTCGAGAAAATTGAAGCAGGCCCACAAGAAATTCATAATAAACCTTAAAGGGGACACAGTATTCAATGTATTGTGCTACTTGGTGACATCGCATCACCATACACTCTAGTTCTCTGCATGCCCCATAGCTGCACATTTTCTTTTGGCCCACAACTTTAAGAGTGGCTTCCAGATTGACCCTTTCCTCGTTGAAAAGACGGAGAGATTCCTTACACTTGTCTTTTCCCCAATACTTGTCGGTATCTTTTAAAATCTGTGTCAAAAAGTGCTCAGTAAACCTCTGCTGGCCAAGAGCTAGAATTTGGCGGAACCCTTCCCTTTCTCCGATTTGCCTGGCGTACCCTCTAATCAGTAAATGAATGAGGTATCGGTTGCCCTGTTTCTGGATCCAGCACCTTTTCTTTAACTTTGTTAGGTGCTGAGCACAGTTAACTTTGCCCAGTAATGCCTCAGCAGCATCTCTTGCAAAAGATCGAGGAAACACGGACAAACAAACTAATGCGTGTTGCAGAGACTCGTCTAGCTTTTTGAAAGCTATTTCCATCATATGCTCAAGATCGAGAGTTTTCGTTGGGTTCTTTTCAAGCTCTTGTATAAGTCCGTCAAAAGAATATTCAGATTCTTCTGCAAGGAGAGGACCAGCTAATCGGAGTGCTAGTGGAATGTTTTCGCATAGTTCAGCTATTTTGTATAATTTGACTTCAATGTCAGGCGCAGTCTCAAACGGCAAATTAGCACCGTCCTTTAGAACTTCTACACCTTCCCTAACATCCAAAGGACCAACGGGTATTTTGACAAGCTGAAGGTTTGAAACTGTTCCGGAAGTTTCAATTTCCGAACGTCTTGAGGTTATCAGGAACTTAATTTGACAGTATGAGCACTTTCTCATATCACTCAACAAGTTCAGAAATGAATAGTCGCCTGGATCGTCTATAGCGTCTTCCGCATTATCAACAATAAGGACCAATTCGTATTCAAGCCGCCTGCACCAGTTGAGCAAAACATGCTTGGGGTACTCACTGCTTTGTTGATGGCCTGGGACACACACATTCAAAATTTCTCTCAACACGTCGTCGTCTTCTCCGCCCCCTTTGTTTGCACCTCTCAAAGAACAAAACCTAACGATGGTTTCAAATTCGTTTTTAAGCCGATGCCCAGCTTGAATGGCAACCGTGGACTTTCCTATCCCAGCTATTCCACTAACAAGGACTCCGGCTGCTGTCGTTTTTCTCTCTCCGCAGAGAGCTTGAACGATGTCATCAACTTCTTTTTCGTGTCCATGTACGTTGGGTACTTCTTCTGGCAGCTCACTTCTGCGGTTGTCTCTGTTTATTTCTGTCAAGAAAATAAAAAGCAAAAGAAAACAAGCTCCATGCGAATGTGAGATAAACTAGCATATGACCGTTATAACCAAACAGTGTGTTCGCCTTTTACTTCGAGAGTGGTTAAGAGAAGCCTTATCATTGAAAATGATTTACATAGTCTATTGTCAGTTGCAAGCTGAAATTTGAAAACTCTTTGAATTTGTAATGAACTAAGATGACAACTAATTATAAACAACGAAACATCGAGATATTACTGTGTGAAAGATTAAACTTTTGATGCTTAATTGTCATTTCAGAGACAAAGTTACTTTACGAGCTAGGGTTTATAGCGCAGCTGATTGAGAGAGCTGGCCTGCAGAGAGGGTAACCGAGTTCTGTCAATTAGCACTGGAGCCATAAAAATAACAGCCTTATGTTTAGACGACTGACCTATCTTTAAGATGCACAGAAATAATTCCTGAAATAAATCTGAAATAGATTCTAGTCCAGTTTCTTGTTGACCTCACCCCTGAATTTCTCTTATTTGTCGACTTTTTTTAACCGCGACCCTCAACATACTAATGCCTCCCACATTCAGAAACGATCACTTCTATTTAATTCTGTATTTTTTTGCAAATCTTAGATTCTGTTTCTCAGTCTAAAGGAGGCTGATTTATTTCCATCAAGATTATTATGAAGCCAGAATTGTGACAGCTCGATTTCTATATAAGCACTGGCGACATAGTTGTGATACAGGTAATTCCTTAAGAATCTGTTCGGCTCAAGAAATTCAGAAGCATCTAAATCCGTGCTAATTATCAATCAATGTATTTTCTCACACTTTTTTCATCGCATCGCTTTTGGATGCGATGTTTATTAAGCTCTACCACTATTGAGGAAACGATTGATGGTTTTGTTGTGTTTTGGTTACGTATATCTTACCTCTCTTAGTCAAAAAGTCCAGTTTCTTGTTGACCTCATCCCTGAGTTTCCCTTTTACAAATGAAATAAACTGTCATTAAATCCACCACGGACCATTTCAAAAGACACGGAAATATTCACATTTATTATATAACTGGATTTGTTCTCAAAAGCGTGCACTTCCATTGGCTAACTTTACGACACAGGCCAACCACTGGTAAATCCCGTTTCCGCACCGGCTGGGTTGAGTACCCAACATTATTTTTTTATGGAAAAGGTACCCCTTTCGTATCCTAGGTTAGAAAGCTGCATCCCTTTTTAAATGCTGTAAATGTATTTTAAAGATGAATAAATAACTAAACCAGAATGTTTTCTGTTTTTCACAGCCACAAAATGCGCTTATTAGATCTTTCAGGTCCTTTCACAGACCACAATGACAAATTTCCCTCAGAGAAATTGCAACCAAACATGTCCTTAGATGATCATTAGACATCTGTTCCCGGGCTTTGTGGAATAATTTATGAAAGTGTTAATATCCAGTATTTTGTACTAGTACCCAGTCCCCTTATCAAACGATTTTCAAATTTCGTTCCTGTCTAAAGGATTACCTTAACAGGCGCGGCCACAGAAATGATATACCGTAACCTCCTGGTCTCATTACTAAGACGATAACTGCAAATTCCAGAAAGTAATGAAAAGTGGCTCCATACTGCCCAATAGATTTTTGAGCTAACAATAGCTTTAAGAGGCCACATGACAATTAATGTCTCCAATAGTCATTCAAAAATATTGAACTTATACCCAGGAAGTCTGTCCTTAAGTGATTTTGCGTTTCAATGAAAGCTTAAAACGTTAGACCACCCCCCCCCCAGCCCTGTGTTGAGGAATTAAATAGATGACCCATGCCTTAATTTTCTTGAGTCGTCATCTTCATCATTGCCGTCGTCATCTTCACCATTATTTTATTTTATATTATACTGTCCCTGGGTTTAGAAAAGACTTACCACTTTCTTCAGCTGATGACTTCATGAAGTCTTCAAACTTCTTATCTAGCTCTTCGATCTTGTTTTTAATGTTGTCCTCATCCTTCTTCCACATCAAAAGAACCTCTTTATAATGTTCTTCGATATCAGGGTCCATACATTCGCCCTTAAGGTTGGTAATAGCAGCTGCATAAGGTGGTCCTCCTAATCTGACCATCGCACTCTCAATGTCATGCCAGAGACCATTGAATGTAACGTCGTCGACAGAGGCCTTCTCAGCATGTCCATAAACGGTATTTCGAAAATGTTTTATTCGAACAAGGTCAGCTTCACGACATGTATCTGTTGGTGGGGGAAGTTTGTCCCATGATGCTGTTGATGCAGGAGGACTCAACCCACAAATGTTTCTCAGGAGAACGCTTAAAAGAGTGATGTCAAAACTAGCAGAAGTTACAGTGGTGGGCACAGCGGGGAACAATTTACTCCATTGTGTTGGATTGAGGATTTTCTTTCCTCTCAGGGATTTTAGTTTAGACTGAACCGAGGTACTACTCAAAAAAATGTGAAGGTTTCCTGGAGAGTAAAACCCATCAAAAGTGTCTCTTAGAGCCTGGGAACCAACATCTATAAGAAGGCGACACAACCGAGCATAATTGGTTGACTCTTTGGTGGATGTTACACTTGGTGTTGCCATGTAGAATACGAAGCCTGCAGAAAATCTGTTAAATTTAAAAGCGAGATAACAGAATAAAGGCGGAACCCATCAGGAAATTGAGTAATTTCAACTTTCATTGGAAAAAAACCTTGTACCAGAAAAATCTAAACAATACCGCATCCTTTTTTACATTTTTCAAGGGCTATAGATATAATAAATTATCTCTAATAACAGCAAAGACTATTTCTCATGGGAGCCCGAGCAAATAAATGTCAAATTTCACAAGAATTGTGAAAACACAGGTAATATTCTGAAAATTTCATGTGTAAGATGTCATTTTGTGAAATTTGACATTCGTTTTCTCGGGCTCCCATAAGAAATTTATTACATCTATAGCCCTTGAAAAACTGTAAAAAAGAATGCGATATTGTTTAAATTATTCTGGTGCAAGGTTTTTGTCCACTGAAAATTATAATTACTCAATTTCCTGATGGATTCCGTCTTAATATATTTAGAGTAAATGTAGTTTTAACTCCAAGGATAAAAAACTCATTAGTATACACAAGCTTTCGATTCCATCAAGGAATCGTTTTCAAGTGATGTAGCGGGACGTTTTGTCAAGTGACGTCATTTATACTGTGAAACACGTGACAAAAACGTTGAGGTATATCGCAGGGAGGTAGTGACCGGCGTCCCTGTTCAAAGTAAGAACCGACATTAGATTTCAAAGCCGATTAGGAGCTCTCCGCGATCTACTACCGACTACCTGGACGCTTTGTCACGTGATTCGCAACATAAATCACGTGACAAAACGTCTAACTCCATCGCATCATCACTTGATTAAGATTCCGAATCGAAAGCTTGTGCATGCTAATAAGTTTTCTATCCTAAGACCACCGGCGGACCACCCTCTAGTAGTGTGGCCGTTGTTGTTATTGAAATCTGAGCATCGGTCTTTTGTACCCAGCGGAAAAAATACACGTCAGATGAACATTATTACGGGGGCTACAATTTACCCCAAAATACAGATTTGAACCTTGATCTTCAAGCGAAATATTAACTTAGTCATCTGTCATGTGTTTTCGCCGTCCCGAGCAATTGAAAGCATTATTCTGCGAGATGATTATCTCCGCGGGCTGAAAATTTAAGATGTAATTTAACGCACTAAGAAAGTGAGAATTTTTTCTGATTTCTCTCTCCATCAGATTTTTGAATCCGAAAATTTTAGGTTCCTTTTTCTACGGAAAAAAAAGCCTAACATGGGAATGAAATGGGAAAAATTAAACTTAAAATCGTACGTAATTTGTAAGAAAAGCTTCGGAAAACTGTACATGAATGGAACGGTAAAGGAATTTTAGCCGTCCTCAAGTAACAGAAAATTCTAGGTAGTATTTGCTTCTCGGAACACTTATTTAACAGAAAACGGTCGTTGGGTGCCCCTGCTGTGCGTATGTCGGTGGTCTGACATCAGGACAATTTAATACTTTTTCCATATAAAGAATAATAGCGGAGCAATGGCGGAGCCCCATTGCTAAGTAAATCTACCCATCCCAGAAAATTTGGTAATCACGTGACCGTACACCGACCGACCGCCCGCCGTCCGTCCGCACCACAGGAAAACCAATGTTTACTCTCACACTTTTAGCTAGTTTGGGAGCCCTAAGAGAAAACTAATTGCACAGGCTGCACATCAATGTTGTGATCAATTGACAGCTATCAAAACAGGGCATCCGCTGACAAGTATCACCTGACCGTACCCCGGGCTCAAGTGTCGACCCATCGAGGTCGAGTATTTTTTTAAAGTTATCCGCTGACAAATTACCAGTTTCAAATGATCGCAGGCTCAAGTTTATTTTTTCCAAGGATTCATATTAAATATGTTGTGTTTATGTCACTATGGCCCCGCACTATTAGGATTTTGATTTCAAACTGACCTCGGAAGCGAAAATTCATCCAGTTTTTTTTAAAGTACAGACGGGGAAGACCTTATCTTACCATGGTCACGCGTTGGTCACGCTCTACGTCCAATTTTTATACTCTGATTGGTCAAAATTTGACAGGTGAGTTTATGCGGAAAAATTATGCAGCATCTTGAAAGTAGTTTACTTTGACAGCTGAAGCTGACAGAGTTTTGTGTCAACTTGTGATGTTTTTAACTGTCTTTTTCCTCTGGAGGTACAAAATGAAATACAGCTGCTATCAAGAGTCTTCTGTTATTCATGACTGGTTTGTTTACTGGGTTTTGGTTGAGAAATGCGTCGCTTGTCAAAATTCGGTAATTCGATTTCGGATGGCATCGTTTTCGTTTTTCACCTTGCTTAATGCGTAAGAGGGTTTAAAAGTCTCAAGCAACTGTGACCTCCCTTGATAGCTTTCAGGAACTGAATCTCGAATGGTAAGCCTAAGTAATTATTGTATTTGATGTTTGTGTTTCATGAAGTCTTGCACAGTTCACGCTGACAGTTTATGCGGCAAGTTTATGCACGTTTGCAGGATTTGAGTCAATGATCTGACCTAGTATCAGGTTTGATATAAGCTTACAGAACTTTAAAAAGCCTTCAGATATATTTGCTCACCACAAATAGAAAGAAAACGTTCCGAAGGATATTTAGTTATAAATTTGGCTGTAGAAAGAAAACTTTGAGCGATTTTCTTGCTTCGTTTCTTGCTTCTTGCTTCGTTTTTTTTCAAATAACACCTAAAAGTTAAATTGAAAATGCTTCAAATGGAATAAAAGAAGCAGTTCTAAGCAGCTAATTCAAGTCAAAATTCTCAATAAGACTTTAGAGCGGTTACCACGAACACGCGTCCTCGAAGGGTTTCTTCCTCTCTGTTTAAACCTGAGCTTTCGTGGACGTCAATCAATCGTTCCCATGGTTTTCCACGCGCTCTGATAGAGAAGGTTCCCTCATCGTGAAGGGCGCAGACTTAAAGAATAATAATGAGCTTAGGCAGGACGAGAGCGGAAAGAAGACAGCAAACCCTGTGTGACAATCGTGATAATAATTTTATTTGAAAAAACTTTCAGCAGAAATTAACTTTCCTTTAAACAGATATTTTCCTAAAAGACCAGAAAACATTAATGTTAAGTGAAGATCACGGCAAAACACGCAAGCTATAGCCCTGTCACGTTAATCGCACTCAAGCGTTTTGCCGTCCTCTTCTTCCTGCCGTCCTGTTGCGTAAACTCAATTTTCGAATTACAACAGCATTTTTAAATAATTATTTCATAAGATGAAGGATTACATTATTAAAACAACGAGGTCTATGCGAGCTCCGTGAAATAGCCAAAACATTCTCTATAGTTTACGTAAAGGTTTTCAGTTTGTTTATCTATTTGATTGTATCAAAACACAGCAGCCGTGGACGAATTGTCAGACGAGTTACGAGCGTATATCGAGAAAGCTTATGTGGTTTTAATTCACAGTGCGTAAATATGTCGATAATTTGAGTTTCCTCCGACAAACAATCAACAAATATAAATCTTGACATGAAGCAGTGTCAGATCCTAAAGCAAAATATTGCAAAAACGGCTTAAACGCCGTCATATTCTTCCGAGTGCTTGAGAAACGGGGAAAGAATCTTCTCTGACTCTTGGCCAACGCGTGAAAAACCATGATAACTGTTGATTGACGTCCACCAAAACGCAGGTTTGAACTGAAGAAAAAACCCTTTGTTAGTGCCCTCAAACTGATAAATAACTTACGATTATGGAAATTTGCAGTAAAAGCAGAGTCTTATATGACATTAATTACTTCAGAAAATATCTAAACCCCTTCAGGAGCGCACAACAAACGTTTTAATGTTAGTCCATGCGCCCAGCAGAAAATTAGCCTTCGTACTGCTAGCTGGAATCAGGCCCAAAATAACCGTAAAAGTGATCGGGCACGCTACACAGAACATAACAAAGACGCCATTTTCTTCCAGAATTTTCCGTTCTGCTCGATTTCCGACTTACATGTTAGATAAATGGTTAGCTTTTGGAACAATCAATCCGCATCATTATACTTAGTAGTTAGAATCTGAGCCCTCTGAGGTTGAATCCCAGTGGAATCGCACTCGAGAAAAGAATGACTACGAAAATGTAGCCAAGTATACTCAAGCATACACCTGTATTAAGTCTCCCACACAACTCAGAAACTGCGTGAAGGTCGACTAGAATTAACTTTATCTATCGGCTCATAATGCATTAGTTCAGGGCATTTCTCGTCTTCGATCGTAGCTGGTTCAGCCGAAATTAACACTTTGCGTCAGGCAATCAGTTTATCGTAAGGGCCAAAGTTTTGTTATGCTATGCTTCTCTGATTAATTATTCACGGATAGATGACTGTATTATTAAGCATTGCCAAAAAGGCCTGTATGTATATAACTATCTAAATGGTTGTTATTAGGTTTTCCCAGGACAGTTTTGCACCCAATACGTACCTTTAAGTTTTGGTGAAAAAAGACTCGAGTGTCGTGCTTAGGATGCAGCTGATTCAAGCATCAGTTGAGTATTGAATTGGCGTCAGCCGAAACAGCGAATCAAAACAATGAAAACAGTTTAACGCTGCATCGATCAGTACAATTTCAAAATTAGAACACTCTACTAGAAAGACCTCAATATTGTGAGGTACTTATTCGCTCTTGTTAAACAAATTCTACCGTTAACAAAATTCTTATCTAGATCAGACTTCTGAAGAGAAAAATCGGTTTGGCAGCTGAACAACAATCAATGTAATTATCAACAATTCCCGGAAGCCAACGCGTGATTTCTAGGAAAACAAAAAAAATATTGATAGTAAGTCCGAAGGGGTATCGCCGGAAACTGAGCAACTTGCAGACTTTACGGAGTTTCAAGGTCTATAAATTTGCTATTTTTGAAACAAATTCAGGAATTTTCTTCACTCGGGCATGAATGTTTACAACGGGAAGAGGCCGGAACCGGGCAACACACTGCGGTAGTGATAGTGTCGTTACGTTGCGTTATTTCTCCTGACGCACAAATTGTATCAAAGACTGAGCAGTTATGTAGCAAGGCCAAAAGGTTATGATGCGTG